AACAGGCAAAACAGGGGCTTATTTATAGAAAAATCCGAAAATCAGGCCGCGCGGTCGTCCGCACGTAGTGCGGGTCACCGCGCGGTCACGCGCGCGTTTTTTCCGTCTTCCGACTTTCGCTCCGCCCGCGCGGTGTGCGGGCGCCGCACTATGCAACCGCGCGGGTACTTCTGGGGGCTATTTCTGGACCGCGCGGTGTGCAGTTTCGGCCGCGCGGTGTGCGGTTTCGACCGCGCGGTGTGCGGTTTCGGCCGCACATAGTGCGGTTCAGACTTCTTAAATTCTTGCTCTCAGAATCACCCGCGGGGCGTGCGGAACCGCACCGCGGGGCGCGCGGATTGCTCTAGAACCGTTTTCTTGCTATTTTCTTTCTCGTTTGCTCCCGGATACTTCTTTAATCAATCCAAAGGCCGTTTCTTCATCAAATCTTCTCCGTGAACCTTCCGGTGGCCTCCAAAACTCTCAAATCTCTCTCGAATGTTCTCCAACTCTTCCCGATTGCTTCTCTAAGCACGATGTCGGTCTCTAACTTCTTCAAATCAACTCCAAATGCAATGAAACTCGATCCAACGCCTGCTAAACACAACTTGAGCCAAAATTGAGACTTGCAACGCCTTAAAGCCAGGAAAACCATCAAAATCCGAACCGGACACGCATCAAATGTGTGTCTAAATACGGACTTATCAGACCAATACTCGATCGAGTATACTCAAATACCCGGTCGAGTATTGGTCAAAAAGAGAAACCAATGCAGTACTCGATCAAAGGAGCAAATGTTTTTACAAAAACCAGGTATACCCGATCGAGTATCAATCCGTACTCGATCGAGTATTCGTAGAAAATTAAAAGATAAAATAGCCTGCCTCCAACACTCGATCGAGTACCGGGCTCAAAAATTGCAAATGGAAGCATACCCGATCGGGTATAAACCCTTACTCGATCGTGTATAGCTGGAAAAATGATCATAAACTGACCCTGCCTCTGACACCCGATCGAGTACCCACCCATACTCGATCGGGTATGACTGGAAAACCCACTTATTCGCCCCCTGTCTCCAGTACCCGATCGAGTACCCACCCATACTCGATCGGGTATACCTGCGATTTAACCCCTAAATCAACCCCAAAACACTTCATCTTCTCCAAAAAATCTCATCCCAACTTCGAACCAACCCCCCCAAACTCCATTTTTGGACCTTCTCTCTACCATATCTCTCTCATTTCTCCACCAAATCAACCCATTCCTCCACCAAAATACTCCCCTCACTCTCCTCTCCATATCTATACCCACAAATCCCCTTTTCCCCAAATATCCAACAAATCCACAAACCCTAACCCCCATTCGATTTTTTGATTTTTTAAGCTCAAAAGCTTCAAAAATGGCTCCAAGGAAGAATAGGGGAGAGAGCTCAAACACCATGGCACCCATTCCGGGCTTCGAGGACCTCATACCCGCCGACAATGATCACCGAGCTAGACTCCTCTCAACAATTAAAAGGCAAGTAAAACCCTCTCGTTTTCTATGTCATGATGCTCTCCGTGAATTAGGGGTATATAAGAGTTGTAGAAAATTCTTTCATGAGTTGGGCATGGACCGTATCTTCAAAATGAAATACAACTCTAATGAACGAATCATCTATGAATTCATGAGTTTGGTGCAATTTGAAAGTGATGAGGCTGATTTTAGGGATGATAGACTCAAGTTTCGTCTGTTTAACCAAAACTATTCAATAACGAAACTTGAGTTTGCTGAACATTTTGGCATTCCCGTTCCCTACGAAAGAGCCATCTCCGATAACACTATTTTCGGGCATTCCCTATGGACAAAGATGACCGGGGAAGTGAAATTTAGCTCCTTCCAAATGTATATTAGTCATGTCCAACACCCCATCCTCCGGTTCTTGAAATTTCTAGCCAATTGCTTGCTTGGGCGCCCCAACAACCACCACACTAGGATAGGGGACGTATGTTTGATATCTGTGGCCTTATTCCGTCGTCATGTGGACTTTAATCTGTGCAATCTTATGTGGGCACGTTTGAAAAAGGAAAGCTTAGCGAAAGGGGCCATTGTCGTGGGTGGGGTGATTATGCACTTAGTGAGTAAGTTCGGGTATACGGATAACTCTCCTACACCCGACTATTGTTTGATGGATATGGCTTGGTTAGGACGTTCAGGATGCACGGCTTTTTCCCATACAATTTATGATGGGGAACAACCTAAAAACATGTATAACTGGATCATACACGCCCAACCTATCCAACACTTCCTAATGCCTAGCCCAGACCTTCCCAAATTACTCTACAAACCGGAGGTAGAGGTGCCCCACTACCTATTCCCACACGCCCTTCCACCAAATCTCCAAGAACCTCAACAAGACCAACCCGAGGACGAGCCTTATGACGGACCCCATGATCATGAAGACATGGAAGCGGACATCCCCGAGCAAAACCAAATCCCTCCTCCACCCGATTACTTCCAACAACTACTTGAAGGATTCAACAAAGTTACCAACGAAGTTGAAAAGTATCGGGAGGAACAAAGGGCGGGATTTCCAAGACTTGAGGAGCAACGAGTTGAAGACAACCAGAGGTACGAAGAAGATCAATGTAGGTTCTATGGACCTATGTACTCTTACATAGCGCATCAAGGCTCATTCCATACTATGGCTCAACCACCCCCACCCCCCTCTTGGTATGACCCCACTCAATGGGGTAACTTTGGAGGATCTAGCTCCGACGGTGGAGGTTATGATGGCGGGGACGGCGGAGATGCTCACATGGGCGACGGGGGCTATGGAGGCGGCTTTGGAGGCGGCTACTATGGCGGAGAAGGTGGGCACTAGGGACAGTGCTTCACATAAGTGTGGGGGAGGAGACTCATCATGGGTATGTCACCTTATTTTTACCCTTTACTATGCATGAATTTCTTTTAGTCTTTGTAAACAAAAAAAAGGAAAAAATAGAATAAATAAAAGAATAGAAATGCTAGTTAGGTTGAAAACCCAACAAAATGGGCAATCTAAGCAAAAAAGGCTTAAAAAAAATGAGTGAGTGGGGAGAATGGAAAATGAAAAGAGATGCTAGGATGAACACCTGAAAAGGCTCCTAGGCAAAAATGAGAGATATGAGAGAAATATGTGTTTTTGCAGGCACTCATTTCATCTCTTAGGAGAAGAAGAAGAGAAGAAGAAAAAGAGGCAAGAAGATGGAGCATAGAAGATCATTAAACCCAAGAAAGAATGTTGTTGTAAAAACTCATTTTTCCCCTTGGTGGTCTTAGTTTCTTTCTTTCTTGAACTCTTGGAAAACTCTTAAACTGTTTGATATTTCTATTTTACTCGAGGTCGAGTAAAGAACTAAGTGTGGGGGAGTTGATACACTTGTAATTTCCGTGTGTTTATTTACGTTTTTAGTTAGTTTTGGTTGTTTAATATTTCGGAAATTACACACTTTTGGTGTAATAGTTTAGTTTGTTAAATTCTTGTAAATTGTTAGATTAGGTTTATTCTGAGCTCAAACAGGTCTACTATCACTCAAAGGACAGTTGGTGAACCCCGAAAGTGGAAGGAAGGTGCAAAATCACAAGACAAAGAATTGTTCCTGATTTTTTGGTCTATACTCGGTCGAGTATCACCTATACTCGATCGGGTATCTTGTTGAAATTTCAAATCGGATCGGATCCGAAAACAAAGGAACATGCATGGAAGATTTTGACCACGATCGAGTGTCTATACCCGATCGGGTACACCGACATACTCGATCGGGTATAGCTCTAAATTTTACCCTACTTTCGATCGAGTATGGATCGAATTCAGGTTTCTACATATACTCGATCGAGTACATGTATATACTCGATCGAGTACCCGACCTGCACCCCAAAAAGCCTATAAATACACCCCCTTTCCTTCACAATTAGATACTAATTCCTATATACTTCTTAGCTCAGTTTAGACAAGTTCTTTCTTTATATTTTTCATCATGTTTAGTCTCCAAATGAGGAGATAAACTCTTCCATCTTGGTTTTGCTACTTTGAAGCTTAATGAATTGTAAGTTGTGAGTTATTTTCTTTAATCTTCTCCCTTAAATATTACACATTAATATTTTGAGCATTACTTAAAGGATCAACTAGTTTTGTTTCATATATTAATTAATACTAGAATCGGTCGATTAATACGCTTGTTATTAATTCGATCCTTTCACGGTAGTAAACTTGGGTTGTTAATGCATGCGTCTCATGGTTAACAACCTAAGGGGGATTAATTATATTGATTAAACCGATAAACCGCTTGTGTTGAGGTTATCAATTAATCTCAATCGTTTTCATCTCTATTTTATTGCTACTATCGAGTGAATATATGGCGCGTGTTCTATATTAACTCGGTAGGAAGTTTTATTAATGAACGCGTCTCGTTATTAATAACTGCCCTCAATGAACTGGATATACTCCTCGATTGAGTATTCGAGAGGAAGATAGTCAAAGATATAACCGGGATCGACGAACATTTTATTAAGTGGATAAAAGCAAAGCCAAGTCTTTTTCTCATTAATTAAACCACATAACTCGTTCATCTTTGTGTTTAAATATAATTTAAGTTCATTCACTCAATCTAAAACCCCCCCTTGTTACTAGTTTATAAAAAGAGAAGTATTCCTTTCCCTGCGGATACGAACCTTACTTCATTATACTACGTATAATTGTTGTATTGTATTATTATTTTGAGTGCACACCACGACAAAGTGCACGTCAATGGTCATGCCCAGGTCAGAGGTAACCTACTTAAGTTGACTTGGCGACACCATTTAGGCTAATCTTGCCAGCTAGGCGTTTTAAACTCCCTAATAGCCCGATGGACTAAATTAGCAATGTTGCGGCGATTTAATGTACCTCTGAATTCCAATTGCACAATAATTTACTCTTTACACCTCAGCTTGCAACTTGATGTACCAAAGTGACACTTTTCTGATTAATTTAATAAACAAATTAAATCCAAGAAAGTAAGGCGGCCCACAATAATACCTTTGTTGTGTTGGGAAGAAGACTTCGCAGCTTCGCAAGATGATTATTGATCCTCTCCCTTCTCCTCCTTTCGGCTTCGCTGTGGCTCTTCAAAGCCGCCAAAGCCTTCGCGTCCATAATATGTTGAGCCGTATCTTCTGCAGCTCGGCTTGGAGCCCAAACGGCGCCCCTAAACCGGGTTGGATGGGCTGTTTTGAATGGAAGCTAATCGGGTTAAGGCTCTGAACCGGCCATGGAAGAACATCTGGGGTGCCCTAAGTTTTTCATACCATATTTGATTACCAGGTATACCTTTTCCTTCATTCACAATTTACGAATTTAATATAAAATCATAATTTCTCTTTTCTTAAAAGGGCACCATCATATTCTCTCGACTCTTGGCCACAAGTCCAGGTTTTGGTAATTCCATACCCGTTGTAATTGTTTCCTAATTTCTTTTTTTGCAACTCTAGAACCCTAGAGCATTAGAATCGCTTATTGATATCGCTTCTCATTACGCGACTTATAGAGCCCGTTTCTCCTTGCTGATACCGTCTTCTCTTTCCTGGTCAAATTCACACCGCTCGCAGAGAGGTAAAATTGATGTTATTTATTTATTTATTTATTTATTTTATATATATATATTCATTTATATATTTATTTATTTATTTTTGCTTAACCGTCGCACATATTTCTCTCACTCTTTCGTTTCTCTTGAGCCTCATAAAGAAAATCAAGCGAACAAGAAACAATGAAGAATGCGGAGGTCTACAGATTAAGATCGAGAACAATATACGGATCTGAAAGCAGGTAAAATTTTCTTCCAACGTATTTTTTGTGAATCTTCAAGGTAAAATTTTTAATGTGATAAGTGATTTTTACCGCAGTGCTTATGTGCTTTAAGGTGTCGACACACACATATATATACGTATGTATGCATATGCACACACATATGTAAGTCTATACACTAGAGTTTGACTAACATATGTACCTTTATGCCATTAGACCTTCCAAAACAAAAAGGCGTGGTAGATCTGGTCAGAGGATGAAAGATGCAGGGTAACACTGATTTTGCTATCTATTCATTTACTCGCCCGTCCCATTTTACCTACCTTACTTTCCGTTTTGAGTTGTCTCAAAATAAAGGTCACATTTATATTTTTAGAAACAAATATGTTGTTAACATCAGTTCACTTTATTATACTGAAATTTCAACCACAATTTTTTACCTTTTCAATCACTTTATTGATAATTGGGTCAAAGTCAAATGAGACACATAAAATGAGACGGAGGTAGTAATTGATTGGTTGAAGGTTTTGTAGCTTTGTTATAGGTGTATGTAGATGATTATGTATGTCTGGCCAAATGTGTGAAATTCACTGATTTTTTGTTTATTTATCATATATTACCTTCGTCTCAGTCAACTTTGCCAAGTTTATGTTGAGTAGGAAATTGAAAAAGGAAAAAAAAATGATTGAGTTAATGCAGATGACAAAGAAAATGGATAGAGTCACAAATTCATTGCTTTAAAAGAAAAATGACATTTTTTTGGGACAAACAATAAGAGGAAGTTGTAAAAGTCTAATGGGACGGAAGGAGTAATATCTGGATGGCTGTGTAGGCCTAAGAGGCAACCTGTCAAGCACCATGGAGGTCTTGGTCCGCCGCCACTTCAGTGGACTAAAAAGCAACTAGAAACCATGGATGCGACGTGCCAGAGGATTGCTGAGATTGGACTTGAATACTACAATACCAACAAAGCTCCCTATGCTGGGGTTAGTGGCTATTATATTATTCAAGAGGATAAGTGTTCAAGTTAATTTCTTTTCGAAGAGTGGTTAGCACTTCATTACTATTACAATTACTATCAAAATGAATGTGGAGTGAGTAATGATAGTAGGGGCTGCTGTGTTTACCCAGGATGGTGCTACCTATGAGCTGGTGGAAACAAGGGATTGCACCTCATTCATCAAACGCATGACATCAATTGTTAAGGCTCATTCCAACTTTACTGCCAAGCCCGTCCACTCAAATGGACCCACAATGCTCTTCTTTACTGAACTCTCATGTCCAGTTTCATCCAAGAAACCTTTTGTAGCAACTAACACTACTGTTCACAGCTGCTGCTTGCTTGGCTGTGATGGTGAAGGTATGTATGGTGGCTATATCACCCAAATTCAATGTGTTGTCTCTTATGAATAGATATCTCGCTGTTCTTCTTCTTCTTCTTCTTTTGTCCTTGCAGGTTGCAGAATTTAACCAACTAAATGTGTCTTCCTTTTGCTTGTGATATTTTGCAGTTAATACAGGTTCTAATGGTTGCCTTTCCTGTGATCGGTCAAGTCTTCATCACCCTCTTGATGAAGACTTTGATGTTGGGCATCGGATTCATCGCCTATCATAAGCCCCATTGTTAATTAGTGTATGCTGTGGGCTGCTGCTATTACTCAGTAACCACTTTTTGCCTTATCTATGCCATTGCTTAGTAATCGTCATGTACTCAAATTATTTAGAAACCGTTCTGTATGTACTCGTGACCTATTTGGTGTGTATTGATGCCTCTATCTGTTATGTTGAATACAGTATGTTCCCATCACTCCATATTTGTTGTTCACTTTTTCTGCTTTAACTATTGTATTCACATTTCTTAACTTTTCACTGCTACTTGATTATACACTTCCAAGGAGTGGAGAAACTGTAGCCTCTTCAATTGCAAGTGTAGGTGTAGTTAACAAAAAAACAGAGAAATTATACACACCAAATTTATGTTGTGTACATCCTTTAGATGAATTTGCAATTTACACCAAATCTTATTATATGGACTTTTGAAACGGTTCTATCTAAAAGGGTCTTAAACTTAAATTCACTTAAGATGGGAAAAAGTTGCAAACTACATGGCAAGGAAGTGATTCCTAAAACTTGATATGTGTGTGTATAATAAATTTAATTACATATTGCAATTGCAAATATTCCCAATCAAGTTAAAACCTTTTCCTATTCAAGTTAAAATTGTTTCCCCTTTTATTGCCTAGAGTATTCAGAAAAAATAAACAAATTATAATTTATCCTATTCATGTTTTAGGAAACTGTGTTAATTGTTTTTTTTTACTATGAGCAAAGTGGTATATACAGAGGCTATTTGGAAACACTCTTATTCGGCTTATCAAGTTTATAGCCAACTTTTTCACCAAACACGTAATTTTTGTTTTCGCGTGCTGGATTGATTAATAAGCAAAAAAAGTAAGACTGTAGTTACTTTTATGGCTGTGTTGGTGAAACTACTGTAGATGATCATTTTTAGCTATTTTTACATATAATTTTCTCTTTATTTTATTAATAAAATATATTTTAAAAATAATTTTTACTAATATCAGCAGAATCAGCCAATGCAGCCACTCCAGCCAGAACTTCATAAATTTTAGCAGAATCAGCCAAATCAGCCGATTTTCATGCTACCAAACGTGCTCATAATGGGGAAAAAATATTGATTTCATTGCTTCTTTTGAGTGTTTTTGAAGAGGCATTCAAATGATTAAATAAGTAGTGTATTCTTATTTTCATTTTCTTGAGTGCCCTACACCGGTGGGGTAAAATTAGGGGAACCACTAACAAAATAAACATTTAGTTTTACCATGAGATTTTGTAAAAGGGTCTTCTTCAATTCCATTTAACGGTGTTTGATGTCAAATAGTCTTCAAGGTTATCGTCGGTTAGCATTGAAAAGGTTGACTTTTGGATTGAAATTCAGCCAATTATCTTTGAGGTTATCATTGAAGTCTTCATTAACGATGCTTCAGAGTGCGCCCGCGGGAGTAATTTGAAGAAGGTACGTAAATGAATCACTCAGATACAAACCATTGAAGACAAAAATAGCCGGCCACCTTTGGAGATGAAATATAAAGACTTAATTCAGTCATTTTCCTCACTGGAATTTTGAAGATTTCTGTCGCTGCAAGAAGATATAAACATAAAATTTTCCCGGATGAAGAAGGCGGATAGTAGAACAATGGTTGAAGAAATAGACGGAGATTGCAAAAAAAATGGAAAGGACAAAGAGTAGAAGAGTGGCCGTGGAATTAGTTTACATGGAGAAGAGATCTAGAAGGAGATGAAAACGGTGGGATTGACTAGGATGTAGACGCGGGGTGAAGACTTCACAACAATGAGAGCTTTGTTTAATGGAAGAGGAACTTGTGAGTGTTCTTGTGTGTGTAATATAATCGATCGCAAATTATACCATGCAACCGAGGCACCACGAGGAATTGAGGATGGTGTGCCGGTATTTGTAACATACGATTAACATTTCATTTTTTCTCAATAGTTACATCTTGGTTACACTGGATTTACATTTGACATATCGCGAGTTACATCACAAAACTACGCAAGTTACACAACAAAAATCCCAAGTTACATATAATTTGTTCCCCAAGTTACATTTCAATAAAAACAGTTTACATTTCAACAAGTTACATGTGAATGAGTGCAATTTACATTTTGATTAACTTGAAGTTACATCTCGAATCACACGAGTTACATTTCACATAACCATGGGTGCATGGTGCTCACCATGCACCTGTTGCACGGTATAGCAACTGGCAATCGATCCATTATGAGTGATTTCTTGTGTGTGTTAAAGGTATCAATGGGAGTAGGAACCAAACAATTTATTTAAGTGACTTAAATTTAGTTTTTAAAAGGGTTTGGAATAAGTTTTTGGGAGCTCAGAATTAGTTCGACGAATTTAAAATCAGCTTGTTATACAAGTGAAATCCGAAAAATAAAAATTATGGAAATTGAAATTCATACGCAGGATAGAGAAATAAGTAGACTCACAAATTTAAAAAATGTGTCAATTCTAATGGAAGGGTGAGAGTTTTGTAATTTTCTAGATAGTTTAAATCCAACGACTTGAGAACATACAATCTTTGTTATGTAGTTATATGCCTTTTGCCCATATAAGATTCTCTATTGCAAAGTTATACTCTCTCCGTCTCTTAAAACTTTGCTAATTTTTCTTTTTTGGATGTCCCACTAATTTTGCCACTTTCCCCTTTAAGTAAATTAAGAAAATGTGATTTCAGTTAATTCTCTCTCCTCCGCAAATACCTCAACCACACAGTTTTCAAATACCTTAACCACACAGTTTCTACTTTATTAATTCTCGTGCTGATCAAACTTGACAAAGTTTTAAGGGACGAAGGTAATAATATTTTATGACATTTGTAGAAAACTGTCTTAAATTGACCTTTTTAGTGACAATGACATTTTGTTGGATACTATATCCAATAGTATCAATGTTCCACGAATTACTTTTAACAAATATGTAGTGTCACACTTGATTGGATATAATGAAATATACCGACACTAATTAAATATTTATATTTACTTTGGGATGGTTTATGTTAAAAAATTTCAGTTCATCCAAAAAATCTACTCTCCAATCTCCATAATTTTATTTCCCTCCATCTCTCATCTTAACCTTGTGAATCTCCTTCCCTTTCCCACACCTTTTCCACTTAATTTAAATTCTTTTAAAAAGTGGGTCAATCTCTTACTTTTTCAATAGAAGAGACGCTCTAGGGTTCTTACACTCCTTACACTTCTCCAGTTTTCCTTCCTTATATATGATACAACAAACCTACTAGAACTCTAGAAGTTTATAGTTACACATATGATTAGTTGATGTAGTTAGTAAATGTGTTGATAAGTTAAGTAACGAAAACAAATACTTCGTATAAAACTATATTAAAAACCATATTATTCATATGAGATATATGATCATTCATTTTATAGTTTGTAAGAGCGATCTTACCGTGTTCTAAAACTTTTGATCAAACTGTGTTTACAAAAATTTAAAGGATATGTGCGTATTACTCAGAACAGGTGTAGTATTTGACCTGATCACATCTTGTTGCATGTTTTTCCGTTTCATGGCTTTTTATCTCGGTAGATATTTACGATTATTTTGAGTTCTAGATTAAAGTTCATTTTCAGTCTTGATTCACAATAATGTATGCATTAAAGAATATGTACATATTAACCTGCAATTCATAAACGTTTCTGAGACTACTCTGAACTCGTGTAGCATTTGATTTGATCATATCTTTCCTTATTTCATTCCATTTCAAGTGTTTTATTTCTCTGTAGAAAGATCTTAGTGATTTCTAAAGCTCATTTTTAGAAATCATCACAAAATTTTAGGGGATAGGTGTGTATTACTCAAAATTTAAAAATTATTATCCAGTTGACTCATGATAGGTGTAGTGTTTCACTTAAACCATAACTTTATGTATTTGTTTGTGTTTAAAATGATTATACAGTTGACTCTCGTTGAAAAGAGCTCATCGAGTTCAAAAACTCGATCGTAATCCGTTTTTTCAATATATATGGGATGGGTACCCTATGCACCCAATATCGAATTCAAGACTCTGTTTATGTTAAAAATGCTCTATTTACTCTGAAAATTGTATATTACAATAAAGAGGCTAAGTATTTGATTTGATAATATCTCGTGGTATGTTCTTTTGTTTCAAGTGTTTTATATCTCGTTGAAAAGAATGTTTTTAGTTCTAAAATTTGGAAAGAATGTTCTCCTCTATTTGAAGGGTACTTCTCAGTTTGGTATATATATTGCTGCCGACACGCCCTTTTCTCTCCATGCCTTTGCGGATGCCGATTGGGCAGGAGACCCTGATACTCGTCACTCTACATCTGTATATGTACTCTTCCTTGGCAGCAATCCTATCAGTTGGAGCTAAAAAAACAGACCACTGTTGCTCGATCATCTACTGAAGTCGAGTACCGTGCTATAGCCTTTTCCACTGCCGAAGTTATGTGGCTTTGTAATCTTGTTCAAGAACTCCATATTTTCGTCCGCCAGCCACCTACTATTTATTGTGACTGTCTCAGTGCAACGTATGTCTGTGCTAATCCGTTTTTCACTCCGCATGAAACACGTGACTATTGACTTCCATTTTAGCAGAGAACAATTGCTAATAAGCAACTTCGTGTAACACATGTAACGATACGACCAACTTGATGATTCGCTCACAAAGCCACTTACTCGGCAACCCTTGTCTCATCGGTCCAAGTTCCGTGTCCGTTCCGGCCCACTGTCGCTTGCAGGGGCATGATAGATTAATATATTATTCTTCATTTCTTCATTGTAATTATCCTTTAGTGGTTTTACTTGTACTTATCTATATCATGTAAATAGGAGAGTAACACATGCTCCCTAACTATATATTAATGCATCGGCTAACTCCTAAAGGACTAAGCCTTATTTGCTAAATATTCTTCAATAAGGTCCGACAATAGATCGGGCCGGTCCTCACAGCACAACGAGGCTCTGATCATCAGCTTCCCGTCATCGTCGGAGGTGTCCACGGTCAACTCGTCGATCTCCGTCCGGATTTAGTTCGTCTCGGAGATGTATGAGGTTCCCCTTATGTTGATAGCTCTGAATATTGGAGAATCTTGGGTCTTCTCCAATATCTAACATTTACTCATCCTGATATTTCTTTTGTCGTGAATAAACTTTCACAATTTATGCATACTCCTACAGATACTCACTCGAAGTAGTTAAGCGTGTACTTCGCTATCTTAAAGGTACCATGTTTCTAGGGCCAGTCCTGTCCATTTATGGGCCTATGGGCGGAACGTTATTTTGGGCTTATATCCAAAACAAGCCCTAAATCATATTCTTATTTGAAATATGAATAATAATAATAAAATTATCCAATGGAGTTCATAAAATAAAGGCGAGAATCATTTTATTGTTATTTAAGTTACATATTTTGGAGGAGTGATCTTGTATCACCTTTTCCCATCTTTTTTTTATATATATTTTTATCCTTATATATAAATATTACTTTTTCCTTTTTATTTTATCTTTTGTATGTATATTCATCTCCTTTATATTATTTTTTTTTATAATAGCTTATCTTTATCTTTATTTTCTTTCTTTTCCTTTTGATGATATCATGTATCGATTCATGTTAGCTGACCCCAATATCGTTTGGGACTAAAACTTGGATGTTGTTGTTGTATTTGGGCAAAAGTAACAACACGAGTATCGAATAAAAAGAAAAAAACATTACCTAAAAACGTTTCTTGTAGAACAATGTGAAGCAAATAATCAATAATCGCTTCATAGGAAATTAAACCTTCTATCTACTAATAAATATGATAAACAATAAAATTCTTGCACATAACAACAGTAAACTTTCTTTCAGTTCAACTGAAGGGATAGATGAAAAGAAATATTACTACATATCAAATTTATAAGTTAAGAATGATTTATTGACCACTAGTGAGAGTCTGAAGTTTGAAGTGTCGAAAGAATGAAAGTTTTCAAAGAGAAAACATGCTTGGCTGCCAAGAAGACTCGCGCAAGAAGACTCCCAATTTGACGTCCTCTAAAACTACTTATTTGTGTCAATCTTGTTTGTGTCAATCTTGTGTAATCCGATTTTTCCGAACTTTTTTGGTAAATGTTTGATCAGACACATCTCCGTATACTTTATAAATGTCAAATTTTTGTTTAAGCTTGATTAGATTTATTTTGGTCTTAAATAAGTCAAGTAATTAAAACTATTTGAACATACGTGCTACATGACATATGATGACGGTACGTCAACGTCACAGTACGTTTGTGTGCCCAACGCCCCAACCTAAGTCCTCTATCTCATATATTGTCATAAAAATTAAAGTTCCATAACAACACATTGCATGTTTTCACCACATCCAAAATAAGTCAATAACCTAATCAATCATTCAATCTCACGTAGTATATTTCTTTCAATGCCCATCTCATCTATAATTTGAATAAAATTGCTCTTCCTAATAATACAGCAATAATAATCTATCACCAAATCACCCCAAAAAAAAATCACCAAACACATAAAAACCCAAAAAAAATCTGAGAGTGACTAATCAAACCATGCAAACACATTAAACACAACATATCAAACTAAGAAAAAGTCAAAACGAGGAAAAAACTACATGTAAAGTAGTATAATTAATACTCCTAATTAATAATAATATAAGATAATAAGATCGGTAATTATACGAACGATTGATTTTAAATTTTTTTTTATCAGAGAGACGTATGTTGTTCAAGGATATTAAGGTTGTGGGTTCTCTGTCTCTTTGCATTCCCGGATTGATCATCACTGGTCCCTTTCTCAATCACCGCTTTTAATGCTTCTTGAACCGAACTTAAAGAACAATGCAGCGGCAGCGGATCGCTGCCGCTGTCATGATACTTGTCGTCTCCGGCGATGAATAGAACGTTACGCACGCGGCCGCCAATGGTGGTGATTTCGGCTTTGAGGGTCCTTAGCCTTAGAGCTTTGAGGGTCTTGATAAGGTCCGACAACAGGTCGGGCCGGTCCTCGCAGCACAACGAGGCTCTGATCATCGGCTTCCCGTCGTCGTCGTCGGAGGCGTCAACGGTCAACTCGTCGATCTCCGTCGGGATTTGGTTCGTCTCTGAGATCAGTGAGGTTTGCCTCCTCAGTTCCTTCACGTGTTGGATCACCTCCGCAAGTAGTGATGCTTTATCCGTCTATAAAATTAAAGATATCATCAAATTATTTATTGAATTGATTAAAAATTTAAAACCCATCATTTAAAACATCAAAAAATAATTCATGAAAGCAACCCGATAATGTAAAATTCTAAGGTATGTAGAGCCATTGGCGTATCCAGGAAATTTGGCGAGTGGAGGCAAACGTGCACTACAATTTAGTCTCATATTTTACAAATTGCAAATGCCATTATTAATATTGTTTGATTAAATTTAGTTTAAGATATATATGTACAAGTATGTATGAATAAAAAGAAGATTAATTTATATTACGTGTGTAAAGATGTAATTACAGATAAAGTTTGAGAAAATTATCTAAATATAAGTTAAACATAACAAAATTTAGTGAATTTTTTAGTCTTTCATTCTTTTAATATGAAGGAAAACGTTCTTAATCCTATTTTAGATTTTTTTCTACATTTAACTCTTATTTTGAGCAATTTCTTATAAACTTTTAGATATATATAGGGGTTGGGTTGGGGTTGAGTGGGGACAGCCGCCCCCGCTGCCCCCATAGTGGATACGCCACTGCCGTAGAGCCGTAGAGGGTTCTTAGGGGATGCCGATTCACCTTCTTATGTTGATCAAGTACACCTAGCTAATGAGTATACGGAATGTTGTTTTTTGATTGCAAACACTATGAATTTCATGTTTCTTAATGCATGATTTTGATTGCAATGCCCGATTTATGTAATTGACTATGAATTGAAATTATAAAAATGATATGCTACGAGTATTTTTTAATTTTATTATGAGAATAATTTATATTTTTAATATAAAATTTATCAATATATGAAGAGTAAAAATGGAGTCGAAATAGACTATGTTAGAACTTAGAAATATAAAACTCATCAAAGCGTAGCAATACTTTCAAAAACTAAAGCGTTGCAATTATTAAAAAATCAGAGGAAGTACGTATTCATTACTCATTTTCTCACACACATTTGTCATACTTGACTGTATGGATTAAGTGTGTTAAGTGTTAACCTTTGACCAATGCGTAATTAATATGGAATATTATAAAAATCATAAATTTATATTACGTAGTATAGTACTATGAAAGTAATTGTTTTTGAAAGGGTATTATGAAAGTAATTTAAGAATAATCATTTTATTATCAATTTATTATTATAAAAAAAAATTATATATAAAAAAATCATATCATTAATAAAATTCAATATTGGTCAAAGTTAATTTTAAATATATAAGAAATACAGTACAAATTAATTATAAAATAATCGAATTAGGTAATTTCCAGTTTAGGTCAAATATGAATTTTACTGTAGTAAATTTAACACAATCGCCTGAATTAATCTTGATATATCCTAATAAAACTTTTCTCTGATCTATTAACTTGAGATAACGTTGTATTTATCTTAGAGATAACCTTGTACCTAAATTATTGGTATTATTCGCTTTGGTACCTTAACTTTAAAGTAAATCAAATCACTACTGTAACAATGTACGAAGTATAAATGTTTCAATTGACAATATTATTCAATTTGTTTTCCAAAAAATCTTACATGGTGTCTAGAATTTTATGCGTAAAATCCAATTTAATTATATTGATTTTGTCCAATGTCCTAAAAGACGGTAGGCGCTGCTAGACAGGTGCAAACCTAGTGCCTAGGCGGCTAGGCGGGTGTCTAGGCAGGCTAGGCGGGTGTCAAGGCGAGACTAATTGCAAACACAAAAAATTTATTTTTATTAATATATGAATTGTGCGTATAAAAAAAACACACATATTAACACATACATATGAATGATAGAATTGCCACATTTAGTAATATACGATGTGAAAACTAATCACATAACATCATTATGATACTGATTCGTTTCATTTAAGAGTTAAGGTAGTATCAAAATGCAACATTAGCATGCATTTTGCATTTTGCCCATTTATCTATTGATCGAAATTTTTACATGTGACCTTGGCTAACCTAGGTTCACCCATTTTAATTAAACATGCGTGGGTTTAATAAAATTCACTTCATTTACTGAAGTTCAGAATATCCAACCAAATATACCATGTGCCTCCAACTATTTTTTGAATCTAAATGTATAATACTACGTATCATTCTTTAGTACGCGAAACAGTTTTTATATTTACATTTCTTAAAGTAATAGCTGTGATCATTCATATATTTCATCACATATTAATCTAAAAGTATAAAATATTAAAATGCTAAATTTTGAAAGCATTGAGAGAAATACAAAATATTTTAACTAATACCATTTGTCATTTTGTTTTTATGCGTAAGGCAAAATATAGTTTTAAGGTAAAGAAAGATACCCTGAAGGGCTCGTTTGTTACGGGGTAAAGTAAACATTTTGCGTGTAAAGTGTAGGAAAATAAACACTTTACACCATTTGATTTAACTATTTAATGTAAATTGTAGGACACTTTTTTAAAAAGATTTTACACCGTGACATGTAAAATATTTTACTTGGGAGTGGTAAACTGGATTGCATTCGTTTATAGGAGAATAAATATATATGGAGTATTGAATCACGATTTCTAACCTAGACTGCTATACTTTGAAGGCTTGATTGAGGCTGCAATGCAAATTGTCCTGCAAGAAACTCTCTTTTCTCTTATATAAGGGTCTGTTTGCAACAGCTTCTACTTTTAAAAAAACGCTTTTTTTAATGAAATGGGAAGAAGTGATTAAATAAAAGTTCATAGTGTTTGAGAAAAAAGTGATTTTGAAAAGTAAAAGTTGTTAGTGTTTGTTAAAATAAGTGCTTTTTGTGTGATAGAAAAAGTAAAAGCACTTTTGACGCGTAAGCCGAGAAAAATAAAAGTTGTAGTGTTTGGAAAAATAAGTGCTTTTTTAAAACCAGAAGTTGAGAAGTGCTTTTTTCGTGCCATAGAAACGAAATCTGCTTTTCATTAAATGTGCTCTACACTCCACGGAACCAACGGGTAGCTTCTCCAATTTGATTTATTATATGTGTGTATAATATTTGAAACTAAATCTTTAGGTTTTGTGCTTCCTAAAATAAACGTTTATAATTTTTAGTGATTACTCCATTTTTGCACGCCACTCTCTCTTCTGGCAAGCAGTACACATATATATGTTGAATTTGGTGAATCGGCTATGCAGTTATTTTTAAACATTTTACATGTAAAGTTCTTTTTTAAACAAACAAGGTAAAGTATCCATGTGTAATTTAAATATAGACACATAACCAAACGATGTAATCTTATTTGTTAATATGGCGGTATCGATATGACAATACTTTTCAAATATGATAATAAGTACTATGTATTAATATTTAGGTAATAAAATAACAATAGAGGACTCCTGTTTTGAAATTTTAGATTATTTTTATTTCCATTGAAGAAAATTACTTTAAAGTGTGAACATGGTAAAAAGGGAAAAATAATTTAAATAGCCTAAATTTTGAAGGGGTGTAAGGCAAGTATCCTAAATATTCACAAATAGTATATACGAGTATATCCCAAATTTTATATAAAAAGTTATGTTAGCACCATGATCTTATATTTGTTCACGAATGTAATTTTGTGGTGTTAAGTACATAGTTTAAAACACACAAAACATTTCTGAGGATGCAATTAAAATTAAATATTACCAAATGTAATATTATTTATTTCAAAAATGAAATTTTAGAATGTTAACTGCATTCCATCAAGGCTTGGAGTATTTTGTACTATGTAATTATTCCAAGAAAATTGTATTTGTGAAAATATACAATCATGCTGCGAAAATAACTTTTTGTATAAAGTTTGAGGTATATATATATATTACATATGCAAGTTAAAGGTACTTATCTCACACCTTAGTAAAACTTGGGATATTTAAATTATTTTCCGTGCTTTAATAAATAAAGATTGAAAGCAATTCAATATTCACAAATACTTGTACTAACCTACAATATAATTATACTACGGTACGCTAAAATATGAAGCTTTTTGGCTCCATCACTCATGACACACCATGACCTCTCGATTAGACATCAAAGGGTTCTTAAAGTTAAAAGTTTAAACCATGCTCATGTACTTCGTTAACAAAGTTCATCATTTTTTCTTATAAAGCGGTACAAATTAACAAAGTTCGTTGATCTAGACAAACACTATCTATTTGAAAGAAAAAAGTTGATTAGAAGGCGCTCTCCTTATTTTTGCAAATTTATTTACTTGACTTTGTGTCCATAGAACTTTGGGATTTTTTTGTTCTTCAACTATTGAATCCTAACCTAATAAACATATTTTTGGTACTCGTCTATGTCGTCTTTGACTTTTCCTTTACAATCCTCGAACACTATAGAAGTGATACCCTCACCTCTTGGACAATTATGACGATGATACTTTTGATCCTATGCTTAAGGTAAAAGAGTTATATATATATTTGAAAGGAAAAAATTGTTACTTTTGTATGTAATAGTCCAAAGAATAAAAATAGATAGAAAATCAATAGAAGTTTTCCAAAACTGTATCTCTTCCGATCCAAGAATAAAAAAGACTATATATATACATAGAGGGATGAGTTCAAATGAGAAGACAACTTAACGTGTAAAATGAGAATTAATCTCAGTCGTTCAAAGTGTCGATCTGATGCACACTAACCCCTATTTGATGCACTTTCAAATAGGCCTTATTTGATGCACTTTTCGAATTTTAGTATCACATTAACTTTAAAAAATATAACATAGGGAGTACTAGTTCATACTATGAGCCCATTTGGTAGCACCAAAATCAGCTGATTTGGCTGATTTTGCTGAAATTTATGAAGTTTTGGCTGAAGTGGTTGATTGCATTCGCTGATTCTGCTGATTTAAGAAAAAAAAAATTTAAAATATTTCTTAAGAATAAAATAAAGAAAAAATTACATATACAAATAGTTAAAATGGTCATCTACAGTAACTTCAGCCAATACAGCCAGAAAAATAACTCCAACCTTACTTTTTCTGCTTATTACACAATTCACGTGCGAAAGCAAAAGTTAAATGTTTTGTGAAAAAGTTGGCTGATAATTTTGATAAGCTGAAAAACAGTGTTGCAAAACGGCCCCTATGAGTTGATGGAGTATATAAAATTAAAATATACTCCCGCACATACGTTGGGGTATGAAGTATTAGGAAATTTATCAAAAAGATATAGAACATGGACATAGTATAAAAATAAGGTTATGTTTCTTTTATTCTCGAAAAGAGAGTTAGCAACTCCCATCAAAAGAATTAGACAAAAAAAAAATTCAAAAGAGGAATTAATGAACATAAAATGTGAAGAAAATAATGTACTTCTGGTTAAGAAAATGTGCCAAATTTATTCACATCTTTGTATACATGAACCAATCAGATATTGCATTTGAATTATTTAAATCTAAATTAAAAATGATATAATGATTTGGACCAATCAAGTGAATGATAATTAAGTACACTACCTCATTTTTTTTAATTTTAACATCAGAAAATGTTAATTTTCTTAAAAACAATTCTAATGTGAACATCATCATATTAAAACGCTAGTCGTCTTGCCGTAACTCTGACTTAGGATATAATCGGTCAGAAAATGTGTGTGACTATGATTCATAATACGTGTAAAATGCCCATTACATGTGTGTAAGATAAGAAAATGCACATCGACTTTTGTAAGTAGCTAGGGTTTGAGAATTTTTATTTTACAGATCTTATTATTACTCTATTAGTATAGATAGGCATGACTGACAAGAATGCTTCTTTGTCTAGATATTGTCTGGCTTTATTAACATCGTATATCTCAGGCTGGTTTTATTTTTGCCATTCTAAAGGACCTTAAGACGATGCTTAAAGCTTTTCTGCTGTTGTTTGGTTTCTCTTTACCACATCAACGTATCGACATTAACGCTACTTTCCTCTCCTCGGAACTCCCACTTACAACAACAATGAGAATATCCTACGTACCCTATATTATATTTTTGACAAAAAGATAAAATAAAAACTTTCCCCCAAACATACTAAAAACTAAAAAATGGAGCAAATGTTCCTCGTGCGTGCTACTTGTAATAATTAGACTTTGTATAGTAAAAGTAACGAACAATTTTGAATTTAAAAATATATTTTTGTTACTTTAAGATATTTTAATTTCCTCTTTTAATTTATACTCCGTATTGTTTATTTTTGTAATTTTGTTAATCAAATACAATAGAAGAGCTTTTATATAATATTTACTATATTTTTAAAATTATAAGCCCTCTAAATCAGGAAGTTCAATGCTATAACATTTGTCTTGCACGCCCTAATATATGACCTCACCAATAACGTGTGCATATCAGATAGGTGATCGAGAAAGTAGACAAAGAATGAGACTTGTATTTCCGTTTTTATATGTCCGGGGATTTATTTTAATTTATTTTTAATGATCGTAAGTAAATCTCAATTGGGTATTTGTTATTCTCCTACTTCCTTTGAATTATTTTAAGATTAGTTGTTGTATTTGGATTTGATGTTTAAGGATGTTTTCTTTTGGATTATTTTCAGTTCTAGACCTGACCAAACCAGACCAGATCAGACCAGACTTTCGTAGCTATAAAATACACATAGACCAGAAGTTTACCAGACTAGACCAGACCAAATTAGACTAGACCAGACCAGCAAATTTCAGTCCAAAAGAAAACATCTTAAGACTGCCTAAAACATTCTAATGTTAAATAATGACTACGGAGTACTATATGACTAAGTAAAAGTGAGACAGCCGTACAAAAAATATTAAGAATTTTTTTTACATGATTTTCTTACCTTAAAAATATAATGTAAACAAATTTGAAAATTGGGGGTGGGCGGGGGCCTAAGTTCCCCCAGCTACACCCCTGAAAATAATTATAGTTAATGTAAAAGTATGTCTTCATGTATTTTAGTAACATTAAGGATCATCATTATTTTCAATTTTATATTGTGGTAATCGTAATGTTATATTCACACTAACTTTAATCGCATTTACGTAGTGTTACGTACTCACAGTACTTAAATTAAGTAATTATTAATATTTATAAATATTTAAAACTCCACTTGAATGAGAAGCACACATTCACAAACTTAAATACCAAAAAATGGTCTAAACATTAGAAATAGACAATTCATAAAATAGGAGTAAAATATTGTGAATTTACTCAAATAGAGCTATTATTGCTTTCTTACCAAATTAAAATATGTATCCTATACTAGTTGAGGAAGTTTTTATTTTATTTTTAAATCGGACTAAATAAGATTTAGTTTGGAAAGAAAATATAGCTAATCCAAATTTAAAATTATATTTATGCATGTTTTACTCTTAGTTATTGCAATTTGTAAAATAAAAATTAAAACATACTTCATAGTACATTGGCCTCAATGATAGTGTGAATGAGACATGTATTTTCATACTCCGTATTTAGGAGTGGAGAACATTATTATCCATAATAAAAAAATGTTTTTTGATCCATGATGACCGACCAATGGAAGGTTGAATTTCGTGAAAAGTCTAATAATTTTACATGCATGTGTTTGTCAAAAGAATGAAATGATTATGGTTCTCTAAAAGTAGTCAATGAAAATACCAAAAATTATACTCCATCATTCATATCAATTAATTAAATAAATTAATTAATTAAACGGAAATTGTCCTAAATAGGACTAAAAAGTTCCTAAAAAGCACAAATAGGACTACTATTTTTAAAATTCCCTAAATAGGACTAAACATTGATTTTCTACCCTAAATACCCCTAAGAGTATTAATTCATAATGAAATGCTTTAATTCATAATAAAATCACAAAAAACGTAAAAAAATATTTAAAAAACGTAAAAAAATTTAAAAAAAATTATAAAACATTTATAAAATAAAAAATTTAATTTTTTGTTTTTTTTAATTTTTTTGAAAAATAATAAAAAATAGTAAAAACCCATAAAAAATGAAAAAAATTATGGATACCTTTCTCACCGCCTCCCGCCGCCTCCCAGCACCACCACCTCCGATTGGTGAAATTTCTTCCACTTTTGATAAAAAAATGCCATATTTTTCTGAAAATGTCAAAAAGATGGCATAATTACTCTTCAATATGCCAACATTTTCATTGATTATGCCATCATTATGGCATTATTTAAAATGTTGGCATATTTTTTTCCGGTGATGGGAGATGGTGGTGTTGGGGGGTGGCAGGGGTGGTAATGTGTTTTTTTTAATTTTATGATTTTTTTTATTTTTTTTATTTTTTTAAAAAAAAATATTTTTTTTTTATTTTTTTAAAAAATATTTTTATTAATTTTTTATTATTTTTTTTACGATTTTTAGTTTTTTTTCGATTTTTATTAATTTTTTTATGATTTTATTATTAATTAAAACATTTCACAAGTTACAAGGGTATATTTGTCCAAACACACATAAATAGTCCTATTAAGGGAATTCAAAAAATGTAGTCCTATTTGTGCAATTTGTCCACTTTTTAGTCCTATTTAGGGAATTGACTCTTAATTAAATTCAAGAAGTAAGGCGGCCAACAATACCTTTGTTGTGTTGGGAAGAAGACTTCGCAGCTTAGCAAGATGATTATTGATCCTCTCCCTTCTCCTCCTCTCGGCTTCACTGTGGCTTTTCGAAGCCGCCAAAGCCTTCGCGTCCATAATCTCTTGAGCCGTCATCTTCTGCAGCTCGGCTTGGAGCCCAAACGGCGCCCCCAAACCGGGTTGGACCGGTTGTCCCAGCGAGTCAGAGATGACCCCCCGGAAATGGTCGGACGTCGGGCGTAGTCCATCGTACCCCGCAAACGGAGACGATGGAGGCAGCCGTCTACTATTGAATAGCCCGCCGTACGGGGACGGCGGGGGCGGGAGGAGAAACGGTTCATGATCTCGGATGGGCTGGTTTGAGTGGAAGCTAATCGGGTTAAAGCTCTGAACCGGCCATGGAAGAACCGGAGTCATTTCCGGAAACAAAAAATCGGATCTTGTCGTACCTACCCCAGTCCCCATGTATGCATCTATGCTGCTTTGTGGCTGCATATCTCTTAGATTTGCTCTATTTATCCTTAAAAAATGAAAACAAAAAAAGAAGTTAAAAAACCTAGTTAACGTTAATATCTGATGAAAGTAGAGAAAAATACCCAAAAAAGGGCCATCTTTACCCAGAACAATTGTCTTATTTAACTAACAAGAATTGTCTTCTACAAGATAGTATAATTAACATATTAACATACATATGCTAGCAGATTGCTAGTGTGTTTTTAACCTTTTTATACATACCTAGAATTGATGAGCAGTGAGAACAAATGAAGAAGTTAATTTCAAGAAATTCCTGCAAATAGAATTTAATTAAGTAAAAATCAATTCTTTGTTCATACAAAAGCTATATATAGGGTGGAAAAAAATGGGTTTATCCGGTTTATTTGCTTTGGGGGAGAAAAGGGTTTGAAACGAAACAAGAAAACAAGAAGAAGATGAAGAAGATAAGAAAAAGAACAGACCTTTGGTAGTTGCTTATCCTTGAAAGATAATACAAGAAAAAAGTAGGTCTTCAGCCCTCTGATCTAGCTTCCAGCTCCTTGTTTTTGATCTAAACTAATAGCTTGCTTCAGCAGCTAGCTGGGAATATATGATATGATGGTTTCTTGGTTTATTGATATTTGAAATGTTTGTTTTTGGGTGGGAGATGATGAATGGAAACTAAAATTTGGATGGAGAAGGAATGGATGAATGAATGAATGAAATGACCTCTCCTTTGTGTGTATGAGATCAGATCAAGTTAGAAGACAAGTCTATGTTGGCCTAACTAGCTTTCTCTTGAACCCTTTGTGGTATGGTTTGTTGGTGTTTGGAAATGTTTCTGAGATGTTCCCTTTGTGTTTTCTTTGTCTTATGGGCCCTTTTCTCACCTCCACTAATACCACCACTTATATTTATAGTGTGAGAAGGTCACCTTTCCTTTCTCTTTACGGCACTCTTTTTCTCTGGAGTCTCCCCATCACTATCTTTCCATTCATCCTTAGAACAAAGTGCTAATTTGATATCTTGTTATGATCTCACCTTTGATTAACATCATAATGTTGTGATTTCTTTTTTTATCAATATTATATGAATGATCAATAATGACATTATCATAAAGTAACATAATCCCTTCATGTTGTGGGTGCTATAGAATTTGCCGGGATGCTGTTATGGTACTCATTACATAAACAATTCAACAAATATAATGGAAAAGTGTAAAGAATATATTTCAAACTTTAAAAAAAAACAACGTTTGCAAAAATTACATTAAATTTGTTCCAAGGAATAAATAAGTCTATACTTAATTTACTTGGTTGCTCATATGATTCCAAGTAAATTTTGAGATGTGAATTGGTTCATTGGTTTCTAATATCTTCGACTAGCATTAAATTAACAAAAAAACACTCCTAAGTGATGGCACACCAAGTTTTCATTTTCAATTCATCGTTGATTCACACTGCAATCAGTCTCCGACCTATGTCATTTATATTCATTAAGTTAATTGTTCTATCAAATTAAAGTTTATCAAAGGACTTGAACATGTGAACTTTGGTTTACAAGGTTTAATTTAATTGTTCCATCCGCAATCAAAGTTTAATTGTTCCATTTTATGCAAATAATTAATGGGTGTGTAGCTTCAAGTTTATTAAGCAATGTTTGTAATTTTTTAGACTAAAACCCAAAATAGAAATCCAACAAGTTCTTGTCACATTCAAAATTTTCACTGTTGCGCTATATATATATAATGACATTATAAGGCATTATTATAGCTATAATATACTATCATTGTTGGAAGTATATATTCCAAATATGGTTGTGATTACTTCTATTTAGAGAATAAACATGATGTTCCAATTTTGAAATTTCATATCTATCTATATTAATATAAAGGAACAAGGTGAGGAGCCTTTTTGTTCCAAAATCCCGCCCATTTCAGGGGCAGTATTGACCTTCTATGTTAAAATTGCCGTATTAAATACTTGCTATAGTATAGTCGTATGGAGTGGTCTTTTACAGAGCTATAACCGACAGTTTAACACTTTTAGAATGAAATAAACCAACATTAATTGCAATTGCAATGATTATCCGTTACACTAAGAATAAGAATCCAATTAGTACTGCACATAACAAGGATATTGATAATGGAAAGTAAATAACTACTCTATTAAAATTATTCTGCAATTAATGTGTAGACTACATAAAAGGCGTCTAAGCAGTATTGCAATTTAACATTTCCAAACATTTGTGGTGAGTGGATAGCCATTATGAGTACGAATGTGGTTTATGGTGAGAATAACAATTTGTTATCTTTATATAATACGTAGTATAAAGTAATAGAATTGGGGCAACATTTGAAGGGAAAAATCACGCCCAAAGTAGGAGCAAAATAGAGAATTAACAGCAGGAAAGATTAAATTTGTTAATTAATTGTATTAAATTGACAGTAGGAAAGAAATATATGTAGTACTACTTCAGTACGTATTATGCTAAGTATGATAGTGTATATATGAGCAAAATATAGACATATGAAAAAGTAGAGTTCAATGCTGATTTTTATATTGAGAATTATATTCGTATCAAATACATATGGGGGCTGCACCTGATATAGGCTTGACCGAGCAGTACAATAAGGAAATAAACTCCTAGATGGTAACTACCTTCCAAAGGGATATTTCTTCTTAAATACAATATTGCTAATAATAAAAAATCATATCCCTATCATAAATATTAATCCGTAATACCCCCCCTCAAGTTGGAGCATGAGGATCCAAAATGCCCAACTTGCGCAATAAAAACTGGAATTGAGTTTTCCCCAAAGCCTTGGTAAAAATATCTGCAAGCTGAATAGTGGTAGGGACGTAGCTAGGTGCAATGAGATTGTCTTGAATGGCATTGCGAACAAAGTGACAATCAACCTCAATGTGTTTTGTACGCTCATGAAAGACTGGATTACGAGCAATATGGAGAGCAGACTGACTATCACAGTATAATGGAATAGCCTGAGGATGATGTATGCCCAAGCTGAGAAGGAGAGCTTTAAGCCATTTTAATTCACATGTAGCAGCAGCCATAGAACGGTATTCAGCTTCTGCTGATGAGCGTGCAACAGTAGTTTGTTTCTTGGTTTTCCAGGACACCGGAGAGTGACCAAGAAACACCAACCAACCAGAAAGAGATTTTCGAGTGAGAGGGCATGCCGCCCAATCCGAATCACACCAGCCAGTGAGGGTGAGATCCCCATCAGCACGAAGTAAAATACCCTGTCCTGGAGACCCTTTTAGGTAACGCACCACCCGAAGCGCAGAACTCCAATGTTCAATACGAGGATTTTGTAAAAATTGAGACAAAATATGAACTGCATAAGCAAGGTCCGGGCGCGTGACAGCAAGGTAAATGAGGCGGCCTATAAGCCGTCTGTATTTCTCAGGATCAGTAAGGAGGGGACCCGAGGCATTGGCAAGATCATGGTTCTGTTCAATGGGAAACGTCGCAGGACGAGCCCCAAGCAACCCAGTCTCAGTGATAATATCCAAAGCATATTTCCGTTGTGTGAGAAAAATGCCAGAAGAGCTCCGTGCAACCTCAATGCCCAAGAAATATTTTAATTTCCCCAAATCCTTCATATGGAAGCAATTACTGAGATAACTTTTAAAGGAAGCAATAGCCACAGAATCATTCCCTGAAATAATAAGGTCATCAACATAAACAAGAACGTTTAATTGGACCATTCCACGAGTACGGGTGAACAAGGAATAATCTGAGAAGGATTGAATGAATCCATATCCTCGAAGAGCTGTAACAAGTTTGGCAAACCAACACCTGGGCGCCTGTTTTAAGCCATATAGAGACTTGTGTAGCCGACAAACCAGAGTAGAGTCCTTGGTTTTATATCCTGGAGGGAGCATCATATACACTTCTTCATTAAGGTCGCCGTGGAGAAAGGCGTTATGAACGTCCATTTGATGGAGTTCCCAATTTTTACATGCTGCGACTGCAAGAAAGGCGCGAACTGTCACCATTTTTGCAACAGGAGCAAAAGTTTCATTATAATCAAGACCCGCCACCTGACGATTGCCGAAGATGACTAATCTAGCTTTAAGTCGTTCAAGGCTACCGTCGGATCGATATTTAATTTTATAAACCCAACGGCATCCCAGAGCCCGTTTACCGGGTGGTAGAGGAACAAGAGTCCAAGTGGCGTTCCGTTCAAGAGCTTCAATTTCAGTGTTCATCGCCTGGCGCCATCCGGGATCGGTAATAGCGTCCTGAAAAGACTGAGGTTCCGTGCCAGAGGAGAGTGCTGCAAGAAACACACGATGTGGTGCAGAAAAATTATCACAACTAACATAGTGTGAGATAGGGAAAGGAGTACCTGAGAAAGCCGTAGGAGGAGGAGAGGGAGAAATGGGACTGTTTTTAATCACCGTGTGGGTAACATAATCTTGCAGGCGTACAGAAGGTCGTTTGTCTCGCTGACCGCGTCCCAAGGCAGTAGAAGAATCCGGCTGATCACTCAAAGGAGGAGATACTACGGTAGCATGTTCATCAGAGGAAGAATCCAGAGGAGGTTTCAGGGAAGTCAAATCCTCATGCGAAGAAGTACTAGTAGCCGCAGTAGGAGCCTCATCATAATCAAAAAATTCAACTGAGGTTTCTTCTTGTGTCGGGGTGTCCTGTGAGGGATGATTAAAAGGAAATTGGTCTTCAAAAAATTTTACATCACGAGACGTAAAATATTCTTGAGTGTCCAAATCATATAGGTTCCAGCCTTTTTTCCCAAACACATAACCGACAAAAATACATTTCCGGCTACGACTAGCGAATTTATCCCCCTTAGATTTAAGATTGTATGCGTAGCACAGGCAACCGAAAATCCGCAAGGATTTATAACACGGCGGCATACCAAAAAGAACCTCATACGGAGTTTTAAATTGAAGCACAGAAGAAGGGGTCCTATTAATAAGATGGGCAGCGGTCAAGACGCATTCCCCCCAAAAAGATATAGGCAGATTAGCTTGGAAACGAAGTGCCCGTGCTATAGGCTTGACCGAGCAGTACAATAAGGAAATAAACTCCTAGATGGTAACTACCTTCCAAAGGGATATTTCTTCTTAAATACAATATTGCTAATAATAAAAAATCATATCCCTATCATAAATATTAATCCGTAATAACATATTTGAGGAATTTCACATATCACGTAATTTGTGTCAAGGATCATATATAATCTTACCATCTTTAATAAAAACTTCACCGTAAATGCACCCCAAATAATACTTTAGAGCATCTACAATGGTAAAATGTGTTGGAAAAATGTGTGAAAAATTGCATTAAATGGGTATTTTGGGGCAATTTTTTGAGTGGGGTCCACTTCCGATTTGGGTCGGGTCAAAGTGGTTTCGGATTGTCCTTGTTAAGGGCTACAATTCGATATATGGTACGCTCAAAACGGATAACGGGTGAATGAGAAATCGCTTTTCGAAGTTTACCCGTTAGAATGGAAAAACTGGGAAAAAGGATGGGTTTCTAGTGTGTTAATTTCCCACACCGGAAAATCCAAGGGATTTGCAACCCTTTATAAAGGGACTCTCCCCTTAAGGAGTTAAGATTCCTAAGGGTAAAGGCTCTCTCCACGCGCGCAGGGGGGGGGGGGGGTGCAAATCAAATCCCGAACTTAAATCTTTTTTTGTGTTTTCGGAAAAACGTTAAGAAAACGAAAATGACTTCTCAAGAAAACGAGATTGGTGTTGGGCAGAATGTTCTGAACGACAATCACTCTGAAAGCGGAGCACCGGTGAACAATAGTTCACAACGCGGTGCATCTGCTTTGGCCAACCAAAGGGCTACCCCTATGGTGACCGTGCCAAGCAACTCTGTGGAGAAACCCGAGAAA